TCTTTTTTCTTAACCTGGCTGAAGGTTTATCAGATTATCAGTCTTATCAAAGAAACAGCTTTTGATTTTATTGCTTTTTGTCTACTGATTTCCTATTTTTGATTTCACTGATTTCTGCTCTAATTTTTATTATAATATTTCTTTTCTTCTGCTTACTTTGGGTTTAATTTGCTCTTCTTTTTCTGGTTTTGTAAGGTGGAAGCTTGGATTATTGATTTTAGATCTTTCTTCTTTTCTAATACATGCATTCTATGCTATAAATTTCCCTCTAAGTCCTGCGTTGACTGCATCAGATAAATTTTGGTAAGCTGTATTTTCATTTTCATCTAGTTCAAATTAAAAAAAATTTTTCTTAGATTCTTTCTTTGACCCATGTATAATTTCAAAGTGTGTTGTTTAATCTCCATGTATTTGGGGATTTTCCAGTTACCTTTCTGTTATTGATTTCTAGTTTAATTGCATTGTGGTCTGAGAGCAGACATTGCATGGTTTCTATTCTTTTAACTTTGTTAAGGTGTGTTTTATGGTCCAGAATATGGTCTAGCTTGGTGAATGTTGCCTGGAAGCTTGAGAAGAATGTGTATTCTGCTGTTGTTGGATGAAGTAGTCTCTAGATGTCTATTATATCCAGTTGATTGATGGTAATATTGACTTCAACTGTGTCCTTACTGATTTTCTGCCTGCTGGATCTGTCTGTTTCTGATAAAGGGATGTCGAAGTTTCCAACTATAATAGTGGATTTATCTATTTCTCCTTGTAGTTCTATCAGTTTCTGCCTCACATATTTTGATGTTCTGTTGGTAGGCATATACACATTAGGATTGTTATATCTTCTCATGGTATTGACCATTTAGTCATTATGTAATGCCCCTTTTTATCCCTGATAGTTTTCCTTGCTCTGAAGTCTGCTCTGTCTGAAATTAATGAAACTATTCCTGCTTTCTTTTGGTGAGTGTTAGCATTATATATCTTTCTCCATGCCTTTACTTTGAACCTATATGTCTCTTTATATTTAAAGTGCATTTCTTATAGATCCACCTGCCAATCTCTGTCTTTTATTTGGTGTGTTTGGATCATTGATGCTTAAAGCGATTTTTGAGCTGGGTGTGGTGTTTCATGCCTGTCATCCTAACACTTTGGGAGGCCGTGGAGGGAGGTTTGCTTCAGGCCAGGAGTTTGAGACCACCCTGAGCAAGAGTAAGACCCCATCTCTACAAAAAGTAGAAAAATTAGCTGGGCATGGTGGCATATCCTCTAGTCCCAGCTACTTGAGAGGCTGAGACAGGAGGATCACTTGAGCCCAGGAGGTTGAGGTTGCAGTAAGCTGTGATGATGCCACTGCACTCTAACCCTGGTGATGGAGTGAGACCCTGTCTTAAAAAAAAAAAAAAGCGATTTTTGATATAGTTGGATTAATATCTACTGTGCTTGTCACTGTTTCTTGTTTTCCTTGTTCTTTGTTTCTATTTTTGTCTTCTATACTTTTTATGCCTTTTGTGGTTTTAATTGAGCATTTTTTAAAACCAATTTAGTGATTTTAATTGATGGGCAACAATTTCATACTCCTAGATATCACTAAACTGTGTACAATTAGGGATGCAGCATTATAGAAGAGTGGACAGCAGAATTAAACTTAAGTAGAATTAAGGAAATATCACTGTTCATTATTGTGCCCATTTTTCATTATATGTACACATAAGCATGAATGCAATTTGAAATCTTTTAATGGCAGTAAATTTACAATTACCCATCTGTGTAGACTAACATTAACTCCAAATACTTGATCTGCAATGTGTATGTAAGCAGTTTCTCATCATACAATTATCAAAATGTATTTTTTCTGTTAGGAACCAGCAACTTATTTTTTGTGTTTATTTTTCTTTTGAGGTAAGAACTATTTCTTCTTTGAAAACTGGCTCATTTTTATCGTTTATCAAAAATTAAAGGGTGGAGAAGAAAGTGTGAGGGGAGACAAGGTCTCACTTTGTTGCCCTGGCTAGAGGGCAGTGATGCAATCATAGCTCACTGCAACCTCAGACTATTGGGTAATTGAGCATTTTATATGATTTCATTTTCTCTCCTTTGTTAGCATATCAATTATACTTTTTTTTTTTTTTTTTTACTATTTGCAGTAGTTGCCCTAGAGTTTGCAATATACATTTATAACTAATCCAAGTCCACTTTTAAATAACAGGACCATTCTTTCAAAAATACTTCTGTTTTCCCATTGGATTGCCTTGGTTCCTTAGTTGAAAATCAATTGGCCATATATTTGTAGGTCTGTCTGAGGAATCTCTATTCTTTTTCCACTGATCTAATTTGTGTATCCTATACCAGTATCACAATTTTGATTACTGTTGCTTTACACTACGTCTTGAAATGAGATGATGTAAATTCATTGGCTTTGTTCTTTTTTGGGATTGTTTTAGCCAGTCTAATCTTTTACATTTTCGTATAAATTTTAGAATCAGTTTGTCAATTTCTGCCCAAAAAACCTGTTAGGGTTTTGATTGTTGATGTGTTGGTTGTATAGATCAGTTTGGGGAGAAGTGGCATCTTAAGACTATTGAGTCTTCCAGCTTGTGAATATGGTTCATGGATTATTCATTTAGGTCTTCTTCAAAGATTTATTTTTAATTATCTCTATACTTATTTCTTCACCTTTCAGGATTACAGAAATTACTTATTTAACTGATGGAAGCAATTGCTACCAGCAGGGATTAAGAATTCATCTATGGTTTAGGTATTTGAGAGGACATGGAAACCTGGGTATATCTTCTTTGTGTGATCCATCCTTCAGTTCAATGGACTGAACTTGTTTGTATAGTAATAAGACTTATTTTAATGTAATCCACAACTTTTTGCTCTCTGATTAAAGTTGAGTGCCTTCACGCCCTGCCTGGATTACAGTGCATCTCCCTTTGCTATCTGCCTGGATTCAGCACTCTTTATTTATTTTACTTTCTTGTCTGTTTCTTTAACCATTAGACTATAGTCTTTAATTGACAACATCCTAGCAGAGGTATCAAATAGTCAATCCACTTGATTATTTCAGTGTAACTTTCAGAGATGAGGTCTTGGAGGGGGAGGTAATGCTTTGCGAGTTGTCTTTATATAGGTAGCTCCTGAAACTATGGCGCTTGAGAGAGACTGTAGAGGGAGATGAGAGCCTAGAGGGAACCTGAGCAACTCCAGCATTTCATAATCCAGTACAGGAGGCAGGAGCCTCTTTAGTTTCCAGTCATTTTATGTCTTCAGCTTGAAATTTCTCTCTTCTTGATATGTTCATTGAAATTATCATCTTTAAAGAACCAATCCAAGTGCCACTTTCCTTGAGAAGACTTCTTTTATATTCCCAGTTAATTGTGCCTTCTACCTTTCCACGGAGTACTACTTTTACCTCTCTTAAAGCCTGTATTTTATTGTTTTGTCCAATAATGATTTGTTAACATCTCTTTCCCACTGGATTTCTGGTGCTTTTGTAGTAGATTGTGTATCTTCTGTCTACACAACACCAAGCATATAACAAGAATTCTGTAAATATTTGTTAAATAAGTAAATGACTAGGTCACACCTGGAAACATGCTGGTAATGGAGAAAAGAACAAGAAAGACATGAAGAAGTAGGTTGCATTTATGTTAGGACTCAAAGCATAGATAGTACTTCAAGAAGCAGAAGAGGAGGAAAAGGTATCCCATGTAGATAGAAAAACATGAGTCCTTGAAACAAAGTCCTTTTGGGCTTAGGTGTGGATGGTAGATATCAAGTGGCTTTGAAGTTGTGGAGGGCCTTAAATATGTTCCATGAAAGATTTTTTTCTCAATTAAATAGTGAAACTATTAAAGCAGGAGAGTGATTTGGGCAGAAAACAGCTCAGACCTTATCTCACATTATGTATTAGGTAGGTTATGGTAGGGAAACACTGGTAACGAGATGAGTTAGGTACCTGGTACTGTACCAGGCAGGAGATAATGGAGGTGTAAACCAGTGAATGGCAGGGCAGAGGGAAATGAGATAGCACTTGTTGGCCGCTAATTGAATGTGTGAATGAAAGAAGAGGAATTAACATACCTAGAGCTTTAAGGCCAAGTACTTGGGAAAGTAGTGGTGTTAATAAGAGAAAGATGTCAGAAGAAGCAAGTTTTGGAGAAGTGATGCTTGAGTGTAAGTTTATTGAGTCAGAGGTGCGGATAGCTCTCTGGGTGGCTTTTGAGTGTATTCTCCATAGGCTTCCTTTAAATACCAAATTACCTTCAATTGTACATATCGTCATGTTCTTACTATAGGCACACAGAGTAATGGGAAGGTAGATATCCTTTGGCTGTATGAAGTTTATCTGTGTGTATATACCTTTGAGCTCTTGGAGGGCAATGACAGTCTATTATTTATCTTTGTTGTAGAGTGCCTGGTGTTTTGAGGACATTTGGGAAAAGTTTGAATTAATGAATTATGGCTTAAAATACACAGGCCTTCTAACAAATAATTCTTGTTAGAAGTTTTGACTTTTGCAGTTCTTACACGTTTCACCGAGAACAGTCATCATTCTTCTACTTCTTGGCCAACATGGTATAGTAGAAATGGACTTCTGGGATAGGCCTCAGTTTGAATCCTAACTTTGCCAACCTACCATCTGCTCATTTTTACTCATTTAATTTTTAAAATTGAAATATAATTTATATACTTGAAAATTCACCATTTGAAAGTGTACAGTTTGGTGGTTTTTAGTGTATTTATAAGGCGGTACAACCACTACCACTGTCTAATTCTAGAATATTTTCATCACACCAAAAAGGAAACCCCATTAGCCCGAGCCCATCAGCAGTCACTCCTTATTCCCTCCTCCCCCAGCCCCAGGTAACTACCAATCTACTAATACTATCATTTTTATTCATGGGAAGATAATTGAAATGATCTGATCCTGTAACCGATATCTAAATACTGCTATCCTTCAGAAATGTATTATGCTAAAAGGAGGTATTAATTGATTTTTCTACTTGTAGGAAAGAACATCAGAAAGGGATACCATGGGACGAACAGTGAATGAAGGTAAGATTTACTTGCCTAAAGGTAATAATGTTTTTAGTTATTTGTCTGGAATGAATATCTTCTGGTACAGTGAACTTTTAAAATAAAGCCTTTTGAAAAATAAAGTTATAGGAAATACTACATGCTTAGAATCGGAATTTTAGAACTGAATAGCTACTAAAGGTAATCTTATTTTTCCTTCCTAGTTTTTTTTTTTTTGAGACAGAGTCTCACTCTTTTGCCCTGGCTAGAGTGAGTGCTGTGGCGTCAGCCTAGCTCACAGCAACCTCAAACTCCTGGGCTCAAGGGATCCTTCTGCCTCAGCCTCCCGAGTAGCTGGGACTACAGGCATGCGCCACCATGCCCGGCTAATTTTTTCTATATATTTTTAGTTGTCCGATTAATTTCTTTCTAATTTTTAGTAGAGACGGGGTCTCGCTCTTGCTCAGGCTGGTTTCGAACTCCTGAGCTCAAACAATCCGCCCACCTCGGCCTCCCAGAGAGCTAGGATTACAGGCGTGAGCCACCGCACCCGGCCTCCTTCCTAGTTTTATAAATGAGAAAACAAACTCAGGGAGGTTAAGTGAACAGGTCATACGACAATCTGTGACAAAGCCAAGGTTAGAATCCAAATGTTCTAACTCTAATATAAGTGATTAAAAAATGCTTCATCCTGTCTTGCTCTAGAAGTCTGCTCACTATCCCACGAATATGCCACGCCCATTTGCACTCGGCTTCATGTTGTATTTTCTTCCCCATAATACATTCTTCACACATTTACCTTCCTAAATCCTGCTCCTCCTTCAAGTCCTGTATCTTTCATTCTCTGTATCGTCTGTATTCCTGTATCTGTCACTTCTCTGGCTGAATGCTGTCTTCTGTTCTATAATTCTGTTAAGTATATTAGTTTAGTATAGTCTCTATAACTAGATTCTTAGCTTCTCTAGAATCTAAGTAAGCATTCCTTTACAGTTTCACTTTCTTTCCTATTAGAAAATCTTTCTGTAGAACTATTTAGTAAATGTAAATGTATACTTTCTTTATACTAGCTGCATCATTTGAATAGAAAGCAGCTCATGTATCCCTTTCAAGTGTTCACATATCTTGAAGAGTTACTCAGTCATAACTAGTAGGTAGATCTGTTACCTTGAATGGCATTATTCTTAGATCCTTCTTTAAGAAGCTTGTCACCTGACAATTAAAGCATCAATAAGGGAAAAATAGCAATGGATGGAAACATATCAAGTATGTTTAAATCCATGAGTTCTTAATGATACTAAAAACCAAAACAAAATTTATTTGTCATCTGTGGAGAATGCTAGAGATCCAACTCATCATCTTGAAAACCAGAAAATAAAGGAAAAGAATAAAGCATTGATTGTGACATTCCTGTGTGATCTGTACCTTGGGGTAACTGAATGGTCAAAGAGGGGAGATTTCTCTCTACAGAAGTTTTCTCGTTAATAAAGATTGATAGAATTAGAATACCTCCATCTTGCAATCACTAATAAACTAATGGATCTAGGAAATAGCCATCATGACTGTTCACATCATAAAAAGAGAGATAAATATTAGGATCTTCCTGTGAGAAATACACAAAACCACTTATGAAGTCATCTTACCCTCTCCTCTCCCCCCAAAAGCCAAACTTGAATCTGATCAAACTCTTCTGGATTTAAATACTAATGCCAATTTAAAGAAAATATAAGATCCAGAGGAACCCAGTACTATGAGGAAGAGTCACCAAAATCCAGACTAGAAAATTCTAAAAGGACTAAGTAACTGGTATTATCAGCAAAAATATTGTAAAAGGAAGGAAAAAAAAATAGGAGGAGGGCGAGGAGCCTACAGATCAAAAGAGACATAAGAGGCTGGGTGCAGTGGCTCACACCTGTAATCCCAGCACTTTGGGAGGCTGAGGCGTGAGGATCACTTGAGGCCAGGAGTTGGAGACCAACCTGAGCAACATAGGGAGACCCCATCTCTACAAAAAATAGTAAAGCTGGCCAGGTGTGCTAACACGCTTCTATAGTCCCAGCTACTTGGGAGGCTGAGGCAGGAGGATCGCTTGAGCCCAAGAGTTTGAGGTTGCAGTGAGCTATGATGATGCTACTGTATACTAGCTCAGGCAACAGAGCGAGACCCTGTCTCAAAAAAAAGAGACATAAGAGACATATCAACCATTGCTATGTGTAGAATTTATTTGGGTCCTGATTCAGACACATTTAAAATAATTAAGACAATTGGGGAACTATGAACATTGGTTATTTGATGACATTAAGGAATTATAATTAATTTTTAGATGTAATAAAAGTATTATGCTTAGTTTTCAAAAAACAAGTCCATTTAGAGATATATACAATGATATATGTGGATTTAGATTTGGTGAGGTCACAAGGTCCACTGTTATTTGAGCTCTTTAGCTTAGCACCGAGAAAAAAAACTCTGCCTGGCTCGTTGAATTACATTGTATTCTAGCTTCCCTGTTATGTTTGGAACTCTAAAAAGCATCTATTTTATTTCTGAGACATATCAATTTAAACATTGTAAAGATCAGCTCATTTTGGTTTATTGATGTGTTCATTTAACAAATGCTTGAGGGTGTTCTGTATGCTAGGTGCTATACTAAGCACTTGAGGATACAGAAGTAAGCAAGAGAGACAAAATAAATAAATCCCTACCCTTTTGGAGATTTCTTTTAAGTAGAATGAGATATATGATAAATAAAATAAATGAGCAAATTATGAAGTCCATAGTATATTAGAAACTAAGTCCTACATAGAAAATAAGGATATTAACTATAAAATTAAAATTGTCTCCTATTAAAAATAGTTTTAGCTTATAGTTTTTCAAAGTGCTCTTTTACACTATTGCTGTGGCCTCCCGATATTGCTATTTTCTTTTTTATTAGGTTCAATGGATGTCAAGAAGGAGAATCAAGAGAAAACTCCTCAGTCAAGCACATCTTCTGTGCAAAAGGGTAGGTTTTAAAGTAGTTTGATACAACATAGTTTTCTTTCTCACTCACTGTTAAGATGAACTCTTAATGTGTTTGATACAATCCATGTACAGTAAACTCCTGTACATATAAAATCTAAACAATAAGAAAGGTCAAAAAATTGTGTTTTTTTTTTTTTTTTTTTTTTTTGAGACAGAGTCTCACTCTGTTTCCCTGGCTAGAGTGAGTGCCATGGCATCAGCCTAGCTCACAGCAACCTCAAACTCCTGGGCTCAAGCGGATCCTTCTGCCTCAGCCTCCCGAGTAGCTGGGACTACAGGCATGCGCCACCATGCCCGGCTAATTTTTTCTATATATTTTTAGTTGTCCGATTAATTTCTTTCTAATTTTTAGTAGAGACGGGGTCTCGCTCTTGCTCAGGCTGGTCTCGAACTCCTGACCTTGAGCGATCCACCCGCCTCGGCCTCCCAGAGTGCTAGGATTACAGGCGTGAGCCACCGTGCCCGGCCGAAAAATTGTGTTTTATTTTGAAAATTTTACTTTGGTTTTACTTAGAGATAAATTGGTGTGGATTAAGTAAAAAGATAACTTTGTGGATTTCAGTGCAAATTTTGCCAAATTATAGGTCTCTAGTTATTAGTTACCATATATTACCAATTTTAAAATAATTTAATTATTATTAAAAACCCTTCTTTTAACATTAGAGTCAATGTGAAAGTCTTTTTTTTTCATGATCAAAAGACAGTTCAGTGGTAACAAGCTTAGGCATTGGGGATTCTTATAGACCTGTTCTAGAATTCTGGCCTCAATTCTTACTGCCTGTGTGACCTTGGGCAAATTACTCAATGTCTCTCAGACTCTCTTTTCTTCTCTGTAGCACAGAGATAATTATAGTACTTACCTTGTGGTACTATTGGAATTAAATAAAGAAAATGAATGTAAATCACCTAATATAATGCCTAGGCATACAGTAAATGTTCAGTAAAGGTTAATTTTATTAACGCTGAATTATTATTCATCTTTAAATTCCTTATTGTGAGCAGCATGTATAGAACACTGCATCAGAGACATTTCGGAGATAGAGTCTGACACATTGGCTTGATTTTAAGGAAAATGAGAAAAGTCATATGTACACAAAAGGCATGAAAAAATACCATAGCAAACTATTGTTTTACCAGCGATTTCTAGAGATTTCTTGTCCCTTGTCTTTCTCTTGTACCAGCCCTGCCAGCCCCAATCCTGGAGGAATTCACCCCATAAACTTCTGTTCCTATAGAGGTAATCCCCATAGAATCGTTGCCTCTCACTGTAGCTGGGTCCTTAGTGCTCCCTCAGCTCCCTTTCCCATTGGCCTTATTTGTTCTTCACCTCTTCCCTCCAATCCCCCAAACCCTTTGAGGAATTAGAGGCTGTTAAGTTAGAATGTTCTTTCTCATACCCACAAATTCCTCTTCATCTGTTTTTTTTAAAATATAAAAACTTTACTGGATATAATTCACTTATCATACATTCACCCAATTAAAGTGTACAATTTGGTGGTTTTCAGTATGTTCAGAGAGTTGTACAACCATCATCCCAATCAATTTTAGGACATTTTCATCCCCCTAAAAAGAAACCCTGTAGCAGTCACTCCTGATTTCCTCCCAAAACCTCCCCTTCCCCAGCTTTAGGCGACCACTGATCTATTTTCTGTCTGTCTCTATAGATTTGCCTATTCTGGACATTTCATATAAATAAGTTAAACTATATACTTAAAGGTAGAAACTAGTAACTTTTCAAAATTCTCAAAACTTTTGATTATAAAAATGAGATTACTTAGTCAAATTGACAGCTATCTGCAGATGTTTCTCAGGGCCTGGAACCTAACATCTCATCTTAGAAATCAGTGAGTGACTGCTAGAAGAGAAGCTCAAAGAGAGCCAGGATTTTTTAATCTATTTTATTAACTGATAGAGTACATAGGAGAGTGCCTGGCACATACTGATGACTTACTATAGGAATCCAGTCATGAACATGACAAACATGATTCCTGCCCTCTTTAAGCTTAGGTGGCAAGATAGACATTAAAGTAACACCTAATTATAGTTGTGATAAATACTGCGAAGTAGGCCGGGCAGGGTGGCTCATGCCTGTAGTCCTAGCACTCTGTGAGGCCGAGGAGAGGGTCACTTGAGCTCAGGAGTTCGAGACCATCCCGAGCAAGAGCGAGACCCTGTCTCTACTAAAAATAGAAAACATTAGCCAGCTGTAGTGGTACGTGCCTGTAGTCCCAGCTACTAGGGAGGCTGAGGCAGGAGGATCGCTTGAGCCCAGGAGTTTGAGATTTGCAGTGAGCTACGATGATGCCACTGCACTCTAGCTGGCACAACAGCAAGACTTTGTCTCCAAAAAAAAAAAAATATATATGTGTATGTGTATTTATATATATATATATATATATATATATATATATATATATATATATATATATATATTTCAAAGTAGCGGATATTGATCATTCAGCTGAGAAGCTTCAGATATTTTGCCCATCTTCACATAGCTTGTGAACCCAAGCCTAGCACTGGTGGAAGACATGATTCTGATTTACTCTGGAGAAGACCAGGGAGGCTCATATAGATTATATTTAGTGCTAAAAGGTGTTGAAGCTAATGTATGGACTAGAATAGAGTACAGGTCAAACAAGAAGAGGGACCATGGGCATGTGCGAATAACAGTGAGATCACAAGGTTATGTATTTACACCTGGGCCTCTTTTCTGAGCAAGTATACCTTCTCCCCCAATCTGTCAGTGAGGACACGATGCAGAGGCAGACTAGGACCTCAGGCTTAGCTAAAACTTTCCGACTACTTCGGCTCTGGTTGGGCGTTCCAGCTGTGGTATTGATGTAGATGTTTCAAACCTAAATTAGTAAAGCTTGGAGCTGTGTGTGTTTTCCCTATGTTATTGATAGGGTCTCAGCCCATGGGCAGCTAAGATCAGCAGTTCTATCAAGGCAGACTAAAGATTTTGCCTTATGAAAAAAGAAAAAAATTAAAGCTCCAAATGGCAAATGTTACATATGGGCATTAGCAATTTGATAGAAAATGATCATATTACAGAACACTGGTAATAAGGATTTGTTAACTCAAATTATAGCTCATTCAGATAGAAATGGTGGTATAATATTTTTAAAAATTTGTGTTAGGGAGATGGATTAAGTATTTTCAATGTCATTGAAAAATTTTACAGATGTCACTGGTTTAAGGAAGAGTGTTGTTCTTTGGGGTATAAATGTGAAATGGTTTTAGTTTCCCATTGTTTTCATTCCTTTCCTCTGGGGTGTCAGCTCCTTAATGACAATCCTAGTCAGATTTTTTTCCCCATTCATGTTTTGTTTTGTTTTGTTTTGTTTCGTTCTGTTCTTTTGTAATGCTCTCTAAGATCATATGGTGGTAGAGCTTTATTCAGTTAGAACTTGGGTCTCCTGATTGTCAGGTTAGTGCTGGAGGAGGATCACTGAAACATCTGTTCAGTTTAATATTGGAACCATGGATCTCAGTTTTCACTTTCGACAAAGCTATCCAGTAATCATAGATTTCGGTAAAACTGTAACATTTAGTTTTATAATACACCATTTATTGAGTGACTTACATATATTCTATTTTATTTAATTCTCAAAATACCTAGTACCATATATATTACTTTTCCTATTTTATAGATGAAGGAACTGAGGCTGAAAAAGTGAAATGACTTGCTCAGAGTCACATAGCTAATAAGAAGTAGAGCTACGCTAGAAATGAAATGGGCAGGTCTGACTCCAAAGCTCATATTCTTGACGTTCTGATGCGTGACTTTCAACACTGTGGGTAGTGCTTGCTTCAGATCATCTGGAAGCAGAATCAAATCTAGTATTTTTTTTAGTGAAACAATCTCTTATATTTATTGTTAAGTTAAAAAAAAGCAAGATGCAGAATGTTACATAAGACATGCTTAATACCATATATAATTTGTATACATACACATATAAATACATACACACATAATGGTGGTACACTGCTGGTTCATTTCAGCTTAGGACAACCAATTGTGCACATCTCTTCCCAACTTCGTGGTTGGTAGCTTCACCTTGCAGTTAGCTGTGGTGGTCGTATTTACACCACAGAAATCTGTAAACACTATCATTCAGGTTTTTTGTTGTATTTTCCAGAAAGCCAGTTGTTAAACATTTATCAGCACTCTGGTTTTTTTTGAGGGGAGGGGTTTATTTGTAAATGTAAGAGTATTATCCTTTAAAGGATATAAGAAGCTGGTAATGTAGATTACCCCAAGAATGAGAACTGTCAACCCCAATATTTTTATAGGGAGAAAACTTAACAAATATGTAGAAAAACCTCATGGTTGATGAGAATAAACTTCATATGAATTAATAGTACTTTCAATACTGCTGTCAGGTCTTTTTCTCAGTGTCTTGACTGTCTGGCTGGCAGAGTGAATTGAAGTGTTCAGGCCAGGCAGTGTACTCCACTTTCTGATCTTCTCCTTTAGCATTATAATATTTCATGAAGACTAAGTGAGAAAGGACAACAAGAGTTTGTAGAAAATGTAGATCACTAAAATAATTTGTATCAGTGTCTGTACTGACAGCTGGTTAATGGCTTTGTTCCACCACCATCTTCTTGACACTCTGAATGGAGATCTAATAGTCCATTGAGAAACTACTCCCGTTCTCAGATTTTTTCTTTCCATAAAGCAGTACAGGAGTGAAATGCTATTTAGACCATAACACCTAAACATCTTTAGCTCCCCATGAGTAACAAAGAAGCACTTTCACATTAATGGGATGAAATGATGAAAACACATTTCTTCAATAAATTTATATTAGAGACAGATAAATAGACTCTGCTATTACTTTATAAAAATTCCTTTAGTTATTTCTAGCATCCACATTTTTAGAATCACTAAGCTGTAGTTCTCATTAAATTGAGAGGATCTGGATTGTAATTTATATCAGAGCCATTATTATCAGGAAGTTGTCTTATTTTGTATTTTCATGCTGATAATCAAATGTAGATTGGGAAGTTTGAATCTGCTCTTTAGTAAGTTTTTTAAGAGATACGGAACTAAAACTCACTTTATTCTTGGAAGGTAGTATTTGTATATACTAAAAGAAAAAAAAACCCTATTTTGTACATGTGCTTTTTCCAGGTGATTTCCACTGGGACAAGTATTTGAAAGAGACTGGATCTTTAAGTGCTCCTTCAGAGTACTTCAGACAGGTATGCCAAAATTCTGTAGATGTTGTATATATTAATATAAACTGTTAACTTGTTGGAGAGTGTCTGTGTGATTGTTAGGTTCTGGTAGTGTGAGGAGATAGTGAGATTGTGGTAGTGCCACTTAGGAGCCAGATGGTCTCTTTGTGTTCATTCATTAAGAACTTACTCTGTGTCAGGTGTACTAAGCCTTTATGATTGCCCATCTAAGGGAAAGACAGACATGGAAAGAAATAAATATGAGAAACATGATAACTCTATACTGGGAGGGCTCATAGAAGAGGTACTATATGAGATGGTTGGAATGAGGGGAAGGATATTCTGGGCAGAGAGAACATCCAAAGCCAAGGCACATGGGTGTGAAAGAATCTGAGTGTTGAGGGATGGCATGAGGAGGCTAGAGCACAAAGTGGATAGAGGCAATAATGTGGGAATGAGGTTAAAGGTGGGGGCATTTCAACTGTGCAGAGGAGTTGGACTGTATCATAGGTAGTGGTGCGCTGCTGGTTGACTTATTTCAAGGGGAATGGCCTAATCAAATTCTTACTTAGAAAGCCACTCAGGATGCATTTTAGAGGCTGTATTTGGGTTGCCTGGAAGTGGACAGATGAATGAGACCAGCAGTGGGCAGTGTTTTTATGCTACATGTCAAGCTAAGGAGAGAGTTTGAAGAAGATCTTTTCCTTGATCCTTATGGCTCTGACCTCGCTTATCATCTGCTGTGACTGTTACTTAAAATGTTCCTCAGGTATTCTGGTAACATAACTGACCATGTGTTTTTTCCTATAGTTGATAGATTTTAACAAAATTTTATTTATATATATATATATATATATAGTCTAAGATTCCACCAGCTAATGACTTCAAAGTGGGTATGAAATTGGAAGCCCGTGACCCTCGCAATATGACTTCAGTGTGTATTGCTACGGTTATTGGAATTACTGGGGCCAGATTACGTTTACGGCTGGACGGTAGTGACAATAAAAATGATTTTTGGAGACTTGTTGATTCCCCGGATATACAGCCTGTTGGGACATGTGAAAAGGAAGGAGACTTACTTCAACCTCCACTGGGTAAGAATAAACAGTTTTTAAAATAATGTACTCTTATTAATGTGATATTCAATAGAAACAGTTTTGAGTGGCCTTTAAAAATCTCTTAGGCATTCTTGCAAATAGTAGATGGTCAGATGGTGTTACTGTGGAGAATGTATGATGAGTGAGGAACTCAGTACCATCTGTTGTGGAGTTGCGCTTAAGTACGTGTTTGGCATATGTGTGGTGAAGGTTCCCGACTCCAGGGTAAGATTCATACTAAGTTTTAAACTTGAGGTGTCAGAAACAGCTCTATTAGATCACACATACAGATTCAGAAGTCCTGCTGGGGAAAAAGTTTGTAGCATTTGATACAAGTCACATCCTCTCTTGATATTGTCCACTGAGCTATTCAGCATTTTTGGTATGGGGGTGAACATAGGGCAAGGGTGCGATTCCACATTCAGGTTCCACTTTCAAACTTGGGAATTTCATCTTACCTACGGTGGGAAGTAACTAGAGTGAGTAGATAGGAGTCAGTACTTTAGGTCTTTGAAGAGGAGAAGAAAATGGAACTCTTAGCAAAGGTTTTAAGGTACAAAATATGTAGCACTCAATTTTGGCCAAGTTTTTAAAAGGTAAAAAGGGTGTGACTCTAATTTTGGGCAAAATTTTTCTTTTTAAAATTTAAGTGTACCATGATACTCTGTAGAAAATAAGTTATTTAGTTTACTTGATCACTATTCTACATTTTGAGTGAATGGTAGATATTGGTTTTTATTTGGTTCTTTTTTATGATGGTGAAAATGAAAATTCCTTATTGTAAAGTGCAATGAAAAAGTGGATTTTTTTGTCTCCTGTTAGTGAAAAATTCCCTGAGAACCAAAAATCTCAGGTATTAGCAGTAACTATTCTTTTAGCAATATCTTTATATACTGTCCTTGTTCTAATTGTTAATTATAATTAATGTGGTTTAAAATATTTTTTAAAACAAGTTGGAGATATGTTATTCCAAGAAGATGGTTTAGAGCATGTTTGTTTTTTGCTTTTTGCCACCTTTTCTTTCTTCATATCATTTACACTTTTTGTTCTGTTTGTTATTTATAATATTAAATTATGCAGAATTCTGTATGAGATATAAGTGAAAACCTGAGGCTTAGTGCATCCCTGTTTGGATTTTATTTCTCTTTTTGAAATATGATAATATGTTTTTGCATTTTGTTTTAAGAAAATGTGGCTATTGTAATTGTCAGCATTTCAAGTATGTAACTAGATGTGCAGTCATTCTTTCTTTTTGAATTACTTTTTAGAGTTTGTTTTAGTTAAAAAATATGAAATGCATAGCAGCGTATGCTGATTAGTATCTGTTTTGGCAGAATATATAAAAATACTCAATTGATGCCAATTTGCTTTTTAGGTGCTTTTATAAATAGTTTAATTTTCACTTTAATATAATACAACTTATTTAGTTTTCGTTTTTAAAAGATTTATTTATTTAAACCTTATTATTTAAAACATTTTTAAAAGTTTTAACATACAAACTGAAAAGTGTACAAATCATAAATGTATGGCTTATAAATGAACACACCTGTATAACTACCACCCAAATCAGGAAATAGAACATTATCAGCATGCCAGAAGGCCCACTCCTGCTGATCCCCATCCATAACCTCTCCCACTAGCAATTAGTTTTATCCATTTTTGCACTTTTTATATGTACCTTAATCTATTTTTAGTCTTTTAATCTATGTTTAACTTTAGGCGATTATGGGATTAAGAAAAAACGTTACATTCAGAAAAATCTTGGTGCATAATGGAACAGGATATACATATACATGTTTGTTGGTGAATCCTAGCCAGTGGCTTCTCTTAAAATGAGAGTTTCTACCTCGCTGTAGCATTGTTGCCAGATAGTACAGTGTGGGCAGTAGCAATGAGAGGAAGATGCGTCTGTTCCTCTTGCCCATGTCCCAAGTTCTTAGATAAGAAAGTCATTCTCTTGAGAAGAATGGTGAATAAAACCTATTTTTATACCAACTTGCTATATAGTATTGTAGGGAAGCTTTTTCGTGATATCTAATTTATTTTATAAAATAGGGTACCAAATGAATACATCATCTTGGCCAATGTTTCTCTTGAAAACACTAAATGGATCTGAAATGGCACCCGCAACTTTTTTCAAAAAGGTAAGAAAGATTTTATAAAAAGCTTCTATCAGCTGGGCCTTGATTTTACTGTTTTAATGGGAATGCTTAAATGCTTTGTCTTCTCTGACATGGAAAAGCAAAAATGTTTTTAAATGACTGGATTGGCAAGTGCATTAGTTTGCTAGGGTTGCCATAACAAAGTACCACAGATTGGGTGGCTTAAACAGCGGAAATTTATTTTCTCATGGTTCTGGAGGCTAGAAGTCCAAGATCAAGGTGCCCTCATGGTTGGTTTCTGGTGAGGCTTCTCTACTTGGCTTGCAGATGGCCACCTTCTTGCTGTGTCCTCACATGGCCTTTTCTCTGTCCATGCACATCCCTGGTATCTCTTCCTCTTCTTATAAGGACACCAGTCCTATTGGATTAGGGCCCCACCCTTATGACCTCACTTAACCTTTATTTCTTAAAGGCCCTATTTCCAAATACACGTTGGAGGTTAGTGCTTCAACATATGAATTTGGGGAGGACACGGTTCAGTCCATAACAGTAGCTTAAACAACAGAAATTTATTTTCTCACAGTTGTGAAGACTAGAAATCTGAGATCAAGGTGTGAGCAGGGTTGGTTTCTTTTGAGGCCTCTCTCCTTTGCTTGTAAGATGTCTTGTCTTCTCCCTGTGTTTTCACATGGTCTATGTGTCTGTGTCCTAATTTGCTCCTCTTATGTCAGTCATTTTGGATTAGGACCCACCCTAATGACCTCATTTTAGCTTAATTACCTCTTTAAAGACCCTGTGTCCAAATACAGTCACATTCTGAGATACTGGGGGCTAGGGCATCACCATATGAATTTTGGGGATGACACAATTCAACCCATAACAGCAAATCATAAAAAAGTCTCAATTATAATCATTCACTAGTCCAATTGAATTGAATTAGTACCCTCCTTCTTGACCTTAGATATGGAAGGGGTACTCTACTGGAAGCAAATATTCATTGCTATATTTTACTTACCTTTAGAAGTGAAGCTTCCCTTCACTTAACTATAGTAGTCATCCCTTTGATACTGGAGAAAATAATGGTAGGCCAGAAAGCTATTTGAAAGTTACTTGGAGTGATTTGGTTTCATAAGTTAAGAATGTTAAAAAGCAGTCATCAGAAAGAATTTGTTATAAGGAAATACTTGTTATATAAAAAAGAGGAAAAAGTCCAAAAATAGTTTATATTCTTGAGAATATGTTGAAAAGAGTTAAGAAACAATGATTTAAAGCCATGTTTTAGTTAAATTATGGGTTAAAATATTTCTTTTTCACCGTCTCTCCTGATTGTTTTATCAGTCACTTAAATTTTATTATAACTGTTCATACTGGGAATGGTAATAATTGATTATAGTTTTTAAAAACTTTTGAAGATTGAAGACAAGGATGTGAAACATCAAGTAGTAGTATGGATTATCAAAATTGATTTATCCCCTCCCTAGGGATGGATGATTAGGTTGTCTGCATATTCTTATTATATATATGAGTTTTACAGTGAGCATTCTTATATAGAGCTTTGTACAGAAGTGTGAATGGCTATGTTCTTAGAACTAGAATTGCTGGTTCAAAGGGATGTATGTTTTAAGTGTTGATATATACTGTTAAATGGCATCCCAAAAGGGTGTTCCAAGCCATGCTCCATCATTAGTGTATAGACATGTTTGTCTATGTATAGACATGTTTATATATCATTAGTGTATAGACATGTTTTAAAATTCTGTGAATCTTTTGGGGAGTGGCGAAGATGGGGGTGGTATCCCATTGTTCTAATTTGCATTGCACTGATTACTAGTGAAATTGAGCTTTTCGTATTTGTTTAATAGCATCTTGTTTTTCTGTCAATTGCCTTTGCCTATTTTTCTATTGGATTTCTTTTCTTCTTCTTAATTATTTGTGTGTGTGTTTCAACCAAGCTTGGAACTTGGCCAGGAACCATCTTAAACCCTCACTCCTCCTTGACTCTGGCCTCTGGATAGCCAGTAATTAAGGAAGAGCAACCTACTTAGCTCCCTAATTATTTCTTCTGTGTTTTCTTTCTAACCTTACCATCGCTGACCCTCATGGAGGCTGTCAACCTAAAATAACAACAGAAAAAGAGACTCTCCAAAAAAACAAAAAAATGAGTTTATTTGGGAATGACTGACAGGGGATTTGCAATCTGGGATATTGGAGCTGTGATGGATCATAGGCATATCCGGGGAGGTTAAGGCAAGGGGAAGCTTTTGAAAGCAAAATGAGGAAGGTTACATAAGTTGTATTGAAACAATTCTCCTCGGCTGTAAGGATCAATAACAAGAGTAGTGTCCAGGGTTGAACAGGCGGTTGCTGGACAGAAGTCTTCGCGAAGGATTCTTTGTGTAAGGTTGCGGTGGTCTATGTGCCAGGTTGTGGTTTTCAGAGAGTCCTTGTAATAGTCTTTATCACAGGCATGTATGCATTAGAGTCCCTCCTTTATGGTCACCTGACTCCATTTTGTTAGGGTTGACATGAGCGATTCCATTTTGATTCTGACAACTTTCACAAGGCTTTCCTCTTGCCCAGACTGTTACACTAGTCTTTTAACTGCCTCTAAACTTCATTCTTCCATGCAACTGCTAAAAATGTATATCTGACCAAAAAAAAAAAACCTTACCACATCATTCTCCTGCTTAAAACTCTTTTAAAGTTCCTGGTCACACTCAGGATGAAGTGTAAGTTTCTTAATATGGCCTGTTAGGTCCTGTGTGACCTGGTTTATGGCTGCCACTCCTTGCTTTGGATTTTATGTTCTAAATTGCTTATAAGAGCTTGTAGGTACCCTGTTCCTTTTTAGAGCTGTGCTTTGACTCATGCTGGTTTTTCCCTGGCTAACTCCTACTTTTTAAAGATTCAGGTCAGGCATTAAATCCTCCAAGATACCATGCCTAATTCCCCCTCTCCATTCTTACACTTCTGTAGCACCTTGTGCATATCTCAATGTTTGTATATATTCGATTATATTATTATTTTCACTGTCTCTCTTGTTTCCTAGACTGAGAGTTACTTTTGAGTAGTTAACATATCTTTGTATTTTCAGTACCTGTCTTAGTTCCTGGGCACATACTCATTTGTTAAATGAATGAAGAAAAGATAGATAAGGGAGTACAGGAAGATGGCTACATATGGAGGGAGCAGATGGGTTTCGTTTTGGACATACTGAGGTGAAGTGCCTCTGAGAAATTTGAGTAGGGATGACTACTGGTCTGTTGCAAGTAAAGGGTTTAGAACAAAGTTTGTCTTGGGCATGTGGATTTGGAATTTTTTAGCATAAATAGTAGTGATGGAAGCCTCGAGCACAAATGAGCTAGTCCAGAGAATGTATAGAAGGAAAGGAGAGGAGTGTCAAGGTTCGAGCCTTGAGAAATACCCATCTACATTTATAGGATGGGTAAAGGGATAGGAGCAGCCCTAGAAGTAGAGGGAGGAGGAAAACCAGAATTAACTGGTGTTACTGAACCCAGTGGAACAAAGAGTTGCAAGGATTAGGGAGTGGTTAACAGTTGCAAGTACAACTCAGAATGGTAAAGTGCCTGGCCCATATCATGTACTTTAGAGAGATCAGTTAAGAGGAAAACTGATTCTTGACTATTTGGTAGATAGGCAGTCTTCAGTTACATTAGCAAGAGCTAAAGTCCAAGTGAAAAGTGTCCTTAGAGCTAAATTTGTAATTTTGGGGGTAGAATATTGACAGAGTTCATTCCTGATAGCCTCAATTCACTGTTTCTGTAAGTAGACCTCAAATTCCTATTTCTGTGAAAGGCTGGAGTGGGAGTCATACATAGATTGAATATATACTATGTTCCAACACTTAGGCAGTAAGCTTAATCAATAGTTGGGGAGAAAGTTAACAAAATAATAAACAATATAATGAGGATACATCATTGGTTTTAAGGAGAATGGTAAAGGTTTGGAGCAGCTTCTGTGTGGGATGAGAGAGGGAATGTCTAGGGACAGAGGACAGTATTTCAGAGGGCTCAGCTAAGGATGAAGAGTAAAAATGTTTGACACCACATGTCATAAGCATGTGGGACTTTGGTCCAGCAGTGCTTACCAGCTAAGTATAAATAGGTGAAATTGAACTAAGGTTTGGTAATGACAAGTGAATAAAATTGCTTTTGGGTTCTGAGAAGAAAGTAATGAAATGCTGCTCTGTAACCGGATGTGAAAGAGCATGATAAAATGTTGGAGTGTTTGGTCCTCTTCTCTTCTTTATTTATAATAGTCAGTGGTTCTCAACTGGGGGTGCGGGGTGGGCAATTTGCCCCCCCACCCTCCAGGGACATTTGAAAGTGTCTGGAGACGTGTGTTTGTTATAACTGTGTGTGGGGGGGGTGCTACTGACATCTAGTGGATAGAGACCAGGGTGCTGCTAAACATCTACAGTACAGAACAGCCCCCCACAACAAAAAATTTTCTCGCCCCAAGTGTCAATAGTGCCAAGGCTGAGAAACCCTAATCTGTATCAGTTCCTTGGTGATCTCATCTAGTTTTCTGATTTTAAATACAGTTTATATGCAAATGACTTTCAAATTTGTATTTTCCAATCCAGACCTTTTACTCCCAAATCAGGCTTGCATATGTAGCTACCTACTCAACATTTCCACTTGGATGTTTAATGGACATCTCAAATTGCTCCACTTAGAACCTCCCCATCTGAGGGTGAGGCAACTGTCCTTCAGTTCCTCAGGTCACAAACTTCGGTGATTATTTCTTTCACACCCTGCACCCAATCCATAAGGAAATCCTATCAACTCTTCCTTCAAAATACAGTCAGCCCACCATATCCTCAGGTTCTTCATCCACAGGTTCAACCAGCCTCAGACTGAAAATATTGAGAAAACCAATATAACAAAAAGTATAAATTTTAAAAATACAGGGTAACAACTATTTACATAGCATTTATATTAGGTATTATAAGTAATCTGGAGATGATTTAAAGTATATGAGAGGATGTGCATAGGTTGTATGCAAATATTATGCCATTTTATATAAGGAACTTGAGCATCCTCAGATTTTGGTATCCTCAGGGAATCCTGGAACCAGTTCCCTGTGGATACTGAGGAATGACTGTATATCCAAAATTCAGCCACTTCTTATCATCTCTGTTGCTATCAATGTAGTATAAGCTGCCTTTATCTCTCACTTGGATTACTGCCATAGCTTCCTCACTGGTCTCCTTATTTATAATAGCATTCGATAGTACAGCAGAGAAATTACAGTTAACAATAAGTTATTATTTATTTCAAAATAGCTAGAATTGTAATGTTCCCAACACAAGTGTTTGAGGTGATTGATATCCCAATTACCCTGATTTGATCATTACACATTGTATATTAATACATATATCAAAATATCACATGTACCCCCCAAATATGTACAAGAATTTTATATAAAAAATTCTTTAAGGCCGGGCGCGGTGGCTCACGCCTGTAATCCTAGCACTCTGGGAGGCCGAGGTGGGTGGATTGTTTGAGCTCAGGAGTTCGAAACCAGCCTGAGCAAGAGCGAGACTCCATCTCTACTAAAAATAGAAAGAAATTAATCGGACAACTAAAAATATATAGAAAAAATTAGCCGGGCATGGTGGCGCATGCCTGTAGTCCCAGCTACTCAGGAGGCTGAGACAGGAGGATCGCTTGAGCCCAGGAGTTTGAGGTTGCTGTGAGCTAGGCTGACGCCACAGCACTCTAGCCCAGGCAAAAAGGAGACTCTGTCTCAAAAAAAAAAAAAAAAAAATTTTTTTAAAAATATTTAAAAGCAACTTTGTATCAGTACCTTTTGTGGACAGCAGAGGGAACCATTTTGCCCATTAACCTAAATCTTAAGGTAGCTTGTTTTAAGATAAATCCCTTTCATTTACTATGTTTGGGAAAAAATAGTAGTTCCTTTGATTTTTTAAAAAATAAAAATTAGTTTCTCTCACAGCTCTGTTTATATTTATTTGTATGACTGTACTAATGTAAGTAAAGTTGATAGACTACTCATGAAATTTAAAAGAATTAATAAACAGTATGAAAACCTTCAGAGAATAAATTTCATTTTGTCTGTAATCATTTTCTAGTTTTTGTCACTTGCCAGCTAATAGTGGTATTGACAACATAATCACATTGGGATATCTTTTTAGGTTATATATTTGACTCTTAAAATTAGTTCTGTCTTTCTGCTCTTTCCTGTCTTTTAATTCTGTTTTGTAACAGAAAATATATATTGCCATTTCAACTTAGTTTAGTCTGTTATATGACAGTGTAAGGTCCTGGGATCCTTATATGTGCCTTGAACATTTTCTGCATTCTGTGTCCAGGACAAATTTGTCATCTGCCATCGTTATTCTTTGTTAAATCCTCCTTCCCTTTTTTCTTCTCATAGGTAGTGACAATTGACCTTTAGCCCCTTCATGTACTTCTGCTTCTTACTTACCAGCTATTTATTTATAAAATACTTTGATCTTTCATAAAGCTAACTTTTGACCTGCCAACTTTCAGGGTGTTTCTTTAAAGAATCAAATTAAGAATATATAATTAAAAGGACTTTGAAAGCTAATAATTAAGGAACTTTCAGACTGCAGTGGTGTAAAGGGTAACAATAGAAAAGTACAGGATGACTTTTTCAAATGCCCCCTTAAAACCCATCTCATCATCCTAAGAGGGCATTTGAAAAAGGAGTCAACCTACTAGATATATTTTAAAAATTGTCTTGGTGAAAAAATTGAGAACTTGTTTACTGTTCTCAGGTGATTCTTTAGTTCTTTCATTTAAAAAATGCTTGATGTTGGGTACTGTGCTAGAAATAACAATATGAATAAGATATCATACCTACTTTTAAAATTTCTTCATCTCATGGAGGAGTGAATACATTTTAAAAGTGGTATCACAATTTCGAGAGTGGCTGTGTTTGAGGTGGGCCTAGGAGTGGACTGGGGTTGGTCAGGGAAGCATTCAAAGAGGCTAGGAGAACTGGACTTTAAACTGGGTGATTTGGAGTTGGCCAGGGAGATGATGGAGTAATGGTGTTCCAAGGAGGTGGCTCCAGGACAGACTGCCTAGGTTTAAAATCCAGCTCTGATTGGCAGGTAGCAGTTTTTGATTGGATTGTGGGTAAGTGAAAGGGATGAGTCTAGGGCAGTGGTTCTCAGCACATTAGAATCACCTGGGGGAATTAAAATGTGCTGAGACCCATTCCCACCTTAGACCAATTCAATCAGTATTGTTGGTGGTGTGGCCACACGTGATTCTAATGTTCAGTAGGACTGAGAACTACCCATTCATGACTGTGTATTTCCAGACTTTTGGCTTGGGTGGCTGGGTTGCTGTGATGGTGCCATTTACTAGGATGAAAAGCAGATTGAAAGAAAAGATGTTGGTTGCTTTTAACCATAGCACTTAGGCTTTCTAGGAATCCTGGTAGCATTTACATGCTTTAACTTTTTATGACTAAGGAATGCTTTTTTTTTTTTAAGGAATACTTTTAAAATAATGGTTTCTGGATTAGATATAGTAAAAGACCCCAGGCTATATGACTTTCATATTCTTGTGTCTACATTTTATACTTTGAGTTTCTTTTAGGATATTATCTGCTGCTCTTCCTTTTCTTTGGACTTCTCACCTTTCAACATACCCTATAATTTATATATTTATTAGGTTTGTCTGACTGTCTCTTCTAAAATTTCTTGTTAATAGCTCTTTCCTGACCCCAATCATTACCATCACCACTAGAATGTAAGCTCCACCAGAACAGGGATCTTTGATATTTTTCTTCACCATTGAATCTTACATTCCTGGTACTGGTAGATAATACATATTTCTTGAATGAATGAATCAGGCTGGTTTTGTTTCTTTCCAGGTTCTTGGCTCTGCTCCAGAATAAAAGTGAGATATTAAGAGAGCAGAGTTTCAGATCTGTGAGAACTGTTTTCTTCATATATTAAGTGATAATTAAAACTTAATTTTTGGTTACTAAGGATTATAAAAGAATACACTGGAGCAAATGGTTCTAATATGTCTTAACAATGAAATTTTTTTTAATGTTTTGGTAGGAACCACCAAAGCCACCCCTAAATAATTTTAAAGTGGGGATGAAACTCGAAGCTATAGACAAAAAGAATCCTTATATGATCTGCCCTGCAACTATTGGAAATGTTAAAGGAGATGAAGTTCACATCACCTTCGATGGCTGGAGTGGAGGTTTTGATTATTGGTGCAAGTATGATTCTCGAGATATTTTCCCAGTTGGATGGTGCAGCCTCACAGGAGTTGTATTACAACCACCAGGAACTAGTGGTAAGATAATAATTAACTACATGTTCTTTTATTTTATTGAAGTTAGACTGTTGCTGGTAGCATTGTGGTTAGCACTGGTGATATTAGGACTTCATGCCCAACTAGAGTGCAGAACAGCAAGAGTACTGTCCAGGCTAGAGACTTGGAGGTAAAGAAAGCCTATGGTCAAAATTCTTGAGGGCCACCCCAACATCATAGTCTGAGTTCCAGTCTGTACTGAAGAATATGGGCAAAGCTAAAAGTCACATTTGGACCACTGAAGTCTTGTTGCTGTAAGCATTGGTTGCGGGATGGGGGGTGGGGAGCTTAGCTGCCTTTATAGTTAACATTCAATTAAAAATTACACATGGTATTCCATTGTTCATATCTCAAAGGTATTTTTTAAAAGATTGGGCATAACAACTGTTATAAACATGTTTTACATGATTTTGCTCCTAGTCTTAAGTAAAATCTACATGTCAGTGAAAACTTTTGACTCTATGGAAGTCATCAGATTAATATGTTATTTTAGTTATGGTAGTGTTTATCAGTTGTAACACTGTTTCCTAAGTTGAATACTATGATCATCTAGGTATTTTCTTTCAGAGAAAAGTCATCAAAATGTTGAAGCTTCTTGGTGACTCTTCCAGGGGCTTAGATATACCTAAGTTGGTCTTTTATGGTGGAATAACTGCTGAGACTTAAGTGGGGTCCAAGTATAGAACCCAGGAAGTAGATATTAATAGTTGATTTTGTAAAATTTAGTATGACATATACCTACGTGCATATGATGCTAAGATAAATAAAACATAGTCTCTGCCCTGAAGAAGTTTACCTTCTAGTGAAGAGGGATGAATTGGAGGGATAGATTTGTTTAAAACAAAAAAAGATACACAATGCCAAAATATAGATGTATGCTAGATATGGAGGTGGCTCAAAGACCTCCAGTCTGGGTTAGAAAGAAAGGTGGTTGGGTAAAGGAAAGCAAAAAGATGCGTGATGGGAGTAATAAGTGAGGAGAAGGAGTTTGCCAGGCAGAATGGAGATAAAAGTAGGGCGGACACATCACGAAGGTGTAAAATTATATGGTTTATCCTGAAAGCTGATGAGTTCAGCTTGGGACACAGTGAACTTGGAATGTGTAGCTGAGAATGCTATTGTCCTCCAATATCTCTTCTCCTTTTTTTTTTTCTTAGTAATACAATTTGGCTGCCTAACATAAAGACTACATTTCTAACCTCCTAGCAGTATGGTGTGGCAATGAGACTAAGTCCTGGTCAATGGGATAAAAGTACAGACAGCATGTTCTACCTCCAGAAAGTGTATTATAGAGAGATGAGCATGTCCTTCTCTTCTTCCTCTTATATATCCTGCTGCTAGGAATGTGGTTTTCGCTGGAGCTCCATCTTGGTGCATAAGATAGGGAACATATCCTAGGTACTGTGGAATGATTGGAAAGCAGGAAGGAGCCAGAGTCCCTGAGAACTTCGTGGAGCAGAACTTTCATACTAGCCCATATTGTCTGTTTCCAGACTGTTATTTGTGAGAAACAAACTTTTATGTTATAGAAGCCACTATTCTTATAGGGTTTTCTGTTAGCTGAACTTAATCCTGACTGATTCAGAATAACTTTGGATATCCAGGTGCACATGTCCATTGGATAGCTGCACATGCAGGTCTGGAGCCATAAAAAGATAGGTCTTGGTTGATAAATCAGGTTTGCGAGTCATCATGTTCACTCAAACAAATATTCTTTGTACCAGGCAGAATTGTAGGTGCTGGGGGTGCTGGTGGGAAGTTTACACATTTTGTTGATAGCAGCAAGTGGTGGAAGTTTTGGGTGTAGTTTTAATTGTCTATGTGTGGCAGGTGAAGGTAGAAGAGGACCAAGACAGAACCTCCTGGGTAAACATTTAAGACAGTAATTCACACACTTGAATCCCTTGGGATAGCTTGTTAAAAGGCAGTTCCCTAGAACTCAACATCCAGGGGTTCTGAATCAGTAGGTCTGAAATAGGGCTCAATTATTTTCAGTGCACATGATTTGAGGCATGAACTTTGAGGAGCACAAAAATAAGGAATAGGTAGAAGATAGAAGTCAATCTAGGAAACTGAGAAAAAAGTATACATAAATGTAGGAGAGTCACTAGGTTAGTTTCCCAAACAATAGGAGAGGAAAGATTTTAGGAGAAAATATTCAACGTTATCAAATGCAGCATAAAAGTCAAGCAAGAGGAGAGCCCATTCCTGGTTTTAGTAAAACTTATGGTTACTGGACTTCTTTTAAAAAGCCAGATTTAGAGAGTCAAGTAGTAAATAGGAAATGCAAAATGTTAAAAAAAAAAAAATGTGGCTTCCCAATACTTTGCGAGATACTCCTCTGTCTTTACCCCAGTGGACATTTTCCTACTTCAAGTGAAATTTAGGAATTTACCTCACTTTGCATTCCTTTGTCCTACACTATTTATAATTTTCTTCAATATTTCCTTCAATACTGAGAACTATATTAGACAATGTTATAATTTTTGCTTCAACCATCAAACATAATTTAGAAAACTCGAGAAGAAGGAAAGTCTATTACGTTTACCTACATTTTTGCCCTTTCAGTTGCTCTTTCTTCCTTCCTAATTTTCAAGATTGTTTTATCACTTTCTTCATGTTTAGAAAACTTCCCCTAGTCATTCTTTCAGGTTAGGGTGATGACAAATTCTTAGTTTCTCTTATCTGAGAATGTCTTTATTTCCCTTCATTCTTTTTTTTTTTTTTTTTTTTTTTGAGACAGAGTCTCACTCTTTTGCTTAGGCTAGAGTGCCGTGGCGTCAGCCTAGCTCGCAGCAACCTCAAACTCCTGGGCTCAAGCAATCCTCCTGCCTCAGCCTCCCGGGTAGCTGGAGCTACAGGCATGTGCTGCCATGCCCGGCTATTTTCTACGTATATTTTTAGTTGTCCAGCTAGTTTCTTTCTATTTATAGTAGAGACAGGGTCTCGCTCTTGCTCAGGCTGGTCTCGAACTCCTGAGCTCAAGCAATCCTCCTGCCTTGACCTCCAAGAGTGCTAGGATTACAGACGCGAGCCGCCGCGCCCGGCCCCCTTCATTCTTAAAGGATAGTTGCTAGATATAGAATTCTAGGTTGACAGTTTGTATCTTTCAGCACTTGAAAAGTGTTCTGCAATTTTCTTCTGGCTTCCGTGGTTTCTGATCATAAATTTGCTGTTATTCAAATTGTTTTTCCCTTGTAGGTTCAATTATAATTATGGATCTGTTTTTTTTTTTCTTGTAGTCCTTTCAGTGTTTGCTTTATGCTTTGCTTATGTATTTTGTGGCTGTATTATTTTAGATGTGTGTAAATATTGAGTTATCATAACTTCCTGGTCAATTGAACCTTCTGTAGTAACCCTCTTTATCTGTAGTAACTTTTTTTTTTAAGTCTACTTTGTCTGATTGTCAGACTTTGTGTGGATGGTGTTTCAGTTATCTCTTTGTCTAATGTTCAACCTTTATTCTTATCTTTCAGATGCATTTCCTATAAATAGCTAGATTTCATTTTTTTGGCCAGTCAGCCAACTAATCTTTTAATTGGAGCTTTTAATCTATTTATGTTTATTATAGTTACAGATATATTTGGCTTTCAGTATGCCACTTTATTTTGTGATTTATTTGTCCTGATTTTCCCATATTTCTTTTATTTTCCTGTTCTTTTTTTAATTTAATTTAATTTTTTTTATTTCAGGAAATTATGGGGGATTATTTTTTCTCATTCCATTTTTCTTCTTTGTTTAGAAATTACATACTACATATTCTGTTCTTCTAGTGCTCTAGAAATTTTAACATCCTTCCTAACTTTATTAAGTCTGAAATTATATCTTTATTTTTATACTAATACTGTAAAAGGAACTTAGAATACTCTATTTATCCCTCTCAATTTCATGTTATTTCTGTTATTTTTTTATTGATATATAATATTTGTACATTTTTATGGAATACATGGGGTATTTTGTTAAATGCATAGAATGTATAATGATCAAGTCAGGGTATTTAGGGTATTCATCACCTCGGGTATTTATTATTTCTATGTGTTGGGGACATTTCAAGTCCTCTATTCTAGATACTTTGAAATATGCAATATATTGTTGTTAACTATAATCACCCTACTCTGCTATTGAACATTGGAACTTATTCCTTCTATTTAACTGTATGTTTGTACCCATTAACCAACCTCTCTTCACAGCCCCACCATACACACCCTTCCCAGCCTCTGGTAAGTGTCAGTCTACTGTCTACTTCATGAGATCAACTTTTTTAGCTCCTACATATGAGTGAGAACATGTGATATTTGTCTTTCTGAGCCTTGTTTATTTCACTTAATGACCTCAAATTCCATCTGTATTATGCAAATGACAGGATTTCATCCTTTTTTATGGATGAGTAGTATTTCTTTGTCCATTCATCTATTGATGGACACTTAAGCTGATTCCACATTTTTGCTACTGTGAATAATGCTGCAGTAAACTTAGGGGTTCAAGTTTTTCTTTGATATAATGATTTCCTTTCCTTTGGATAAACACCCAGTAGTGGGATTACTGGATCATATAGTAGGTCTATTTTTAGTTTTTTGTGAAATCTCTATACTGTATTCCATAATGGCTGTATTAATTTACATTCCCAGCAACAGTGTCTGAGTTCCCTTTTCTCCGTATCCTCGCTGGCATCTGTTGTTTTTTTGTCTTCTTAGCAATAGCCATTCTAGCTGGGGTAAGATGATATCATTGTGGTTTTGGTTTGAATTTCCCTAAAGATTAGTGATATTGACCATTTTTTCGTGTACCTGTTGGCCATTTGTATGTCTGCTTTGAGAAATGTCTATTCATGTCCGTTGCCCACTTTTTAATGGGATTGTTATTTTTCTTTTCTGTTGAGTTGATTTGAGTTCCTTGTGTATTGTGGATATTAGTCCCTTATCAGATGAATAGTTTGCAAATATTTTCTCCTATTCTGTAGATTGTCTCTTCATTTTGTTGAT